GAGGGGGGCCGGCCGTTCGGCAGCACGGCTGGCCGGCCGTTCGGGGGCGGGAGCCACAGGGAAGAGGGCTTTGAGGATCCTGGCTAGAGTTCAGTAAAGGAGAGACCTCTGACCTAGCAGGTCATGCCCCTTTTCGGGGGCCTTAGTTTCCCTCTGTCTTTAAAATTAAGATGCCAAATAAGGTGATGTTTTTTTCTTTTTGCAGAGCTCTTCCTAGTCAGAGAGCCACTGATTCTAAACCTACAGGCCTCATCAGACTACCGTCCTATCTGCAGGAGAGTTTAGCCTCTTCCTGTCTTCTCAGGGCTGTCATTAGGAGGATCACACACTGTCATGTTCAGAAATCCCCCTTGGAAGGGCCCACTTGTCCCCAGGGTGAAGTGCGCACTGTTGGTAGCTCAAGCTGGGGAAGACCCCGGCTTCACCAAGTTCTGGGTTCTCACGCTCCCCTGCCCTACAGACGATGGTTCATAAACCAGGAACAAGAGCACCTGGGGAGTTCCATTAAGGAAGGAGGATGGAGGCCAGCAAGTGACGTGAAAGCCACGCCACTTCTGCTAAGCATACGTGCCATGCCCTAGAGTGAAAAACAAACAGACAAACGAAAAATCAGAAACTAAACTTAAAAAAAAAAAAAAAAAAAAAGGAAAGGAAAGGCATGATATTTGGGGCAGTATGAATCTGCTATCCCAGAGGCTGAGGGAAAGGTCTGGTCACGCATAGGTGGTCCCAGCAAGACGGTGCCTACCAGAAAAGGCCACAGGGCTTTGAACAGAAAAAGGACAGCAGCTCTATCTTACCCATTGGAGAAGAAAAATATTAAAATCAATAATAATACCCCCCCCCCCATCTCAACAGAACACTAAGGAAAACTCAGTAACCACAGAAATCCATTTTGGAGTTCATTCCGGGAGTAATTTTCTTTGGAAGATGAATAGAAATAGAGTTCTATTTCATGAGTCTTCAGTAGATAAGAATGTGTTAGCTCCAAATGATCTGTATCCCCTCAATATAGAGATTTGAATAGTGCAAATTCCGTTTACACACTATTCTGCTGAAACGTGAACATGACCTTTGGGGAATTTAGTAATTGTGTATTATCTGTTAAGAAGGTGGATGTAGGGACTAGCAGATGGCATCATGGTTATATTGCCCAACTCCCAGGAAGTTGACTATAGTTCAAGTCCCAAACCTGGTGGATTAGAACTCACTTCGGATGTGTGTGCCCCAAAATCCCAAGAGGAGAGTGGAGGACAAGGGACTGTAGTGTGGCCATCCGCACTGGGGGTGATTTCTCACTTTCTGTCTGTCTGTCTCTCTGTGTCTCCCTGGTGAGTATACACACCCCATAGCAAAAATCTCTGTCTAAAAAAGAAAAAAAGTGGATGTAGATTACGTATGTCTTTTTCATTTGCATTAGTTTAGTGGCGATTAGACACTATGTAAAGAATCTAGGTAGAGCTAGCACGTTAGCACTGATGAATTTTCACCAGGGAACACACGTGAGTGTTTCCAGCATCCAGATCAAGGGATAAACTGTGGGATACTATTCCATCTTAAAAAGGAAGGAAATTCTGTCATTTTCAACAGCATGGATGCAGTTGGAGAACATTATGCCAAGTGAAATAAGCCAGGCACAGAAAGACACGTGCTGTGTGTTTTCACTTATATTTGTGATTTAAAAGAATTGAGCTCTGGGATAAACAGGTGACGTGGTGATGGAGATGCTGGATTTCTACATGGCTGACCACGGTTCAAGTCTCAGACCTGGCAGTTTGAAAATCATGCTGGGCATGTGTGTGTGTGTGCTCAAAATCCCGAGAGGAGACTGGAGAAGGGATTGTGATGTGGCCATTCTCTCTAGTGGATGCTTCCTCACTTTCCCTGTCACTGTCTCTTGAGCAAGCACCCATGCCTTATGGCAAAAGCCTAAAAAATAAAATAAAATAAAATCGAGATCACAGGAGTGGAGAGAAGAATGGCGGTTAGAGAGGCTGAAGGGTGGAGATAGTGAGTAGATTATGATCAAAGGGTTGAAAATCTCAGACAGAAGGAGGATGTTGTGTTTCCTTCGAGTTATATTGCTCGGTGAACATAGTTACTAATAGACTATGATACATTTCAAAATTGCTAAGAGTGAATTTCAAATGCCCCTTCTATAAAACATATTAAACATTTGATGGGATGGACATGTTAGCTAGCTCCGTTTAATTATTCCACATTTGTGTTCATTAATCATACTATCACTTTATGCCCCATACATTTATACTATGGTAAATTGTCAATTTATGATTAAAAAAGAAAGGATTGGAACAAGAGACAGAAAGAGCAAGACAAAGTCACTACCATTCCAGAAGTCTCTGTGTCTCTTTCAGTCACTAACCCCGTCCCCCATATAACTACACTCCAGATTTCTAACGCTGTAATCTAGCTCTGCTCATTTTGTTTGACCTTCATGTAAATGTGCTCTTTTGTGTGTGGTCTCTCACTCAGTGCTGCTTGTGAGAGTCATCGGTGTTGTACACAGCGATAGCTTCCGCTCGTAGCTGGGTAACAGGGATCGGCCAGCTCTGTGTGGCCTGGGAACCACATTGAACTGGTGGCCCTGTTTTGTATAGCCCGTGAACTAAGAATGGTTTTTACACTTTTAAAGGTTTGTGAAGAAAATAAGCAAAGAAGAGTAGATGACAGACACCTGCAACGTCTAAAATATTTACAATTCAGCCCGTTGGAGAAAATGGTTCCTGACCCCTGCCCTATAGTGTCCCCTTCTGTGAATATCCCACACTTCATGTATTCAACTCTTGATGGACATCTGGGCTGTCTCCTGACGGAGGCCGTTGCAAGCAGCGCTGTTACGAACGTTCTTGTGCAGGTTTCCGGGTGCACATGAGAAAAGATTGCTGCTAGGTGTCTTCCTACCTCAGAGCAAGATTGCTGGGTCATGGGGTTTGCAGGAGATGTTCAGCCTTAGTAAATCCCACCAAAGAGTTTGCTAACGTACCACTATGCCCTCCCAGTAGCCATATAGGAAAGTCCATTCAGTTCTTACCTTTCTAACTTGGCTATCATCAATCTTTTTCACCTTAATCATTCTTGTGGTTTTTCAAATGACAGCCTGTTACGGCTTTAATTTCCATTTCTTTGAATATATCTGAGATTGCATAGTTGATGGGCTTAGAGGCCATTTGATACCTTTTCATATGAAGTGTGTATTTAATTTTTAAAAACATTTTCCTATGAGTTATTTGACTTTCTCTATTAATTTAGAAGAGTTCTTTCTATATTCTAGTTATGAGTCTTGTGTATTTATGGATTATAAATATCTCCTCCCATTCTGTGGCTTTTTATACTCCAAATGGTGTCTTTTGATGAACAGAAGTTCTTCGTTTTATTGTAGTCCAATTTATCTCTATTTTTATTGTTAGTGGTATTTTTTTGGTGTGTGTCTGTGTGACTCTTAAGGAATCATTACTTACTGCAAGGTCATGAAGATATTCTCTCTCTTTTTTTTTTCTCTTTTGGAGGCTTTATTGTTTTATTTTTCACATTTGGATTTGTATCAGCAGGAGGTATCTTTAGTATATGGTGTGAGGTAGGGGTCAAGGTTCATATTTTATTATACAGATAATCAGTTGCCATTATTGGTACCATCATTGAAAAAAGCCATCTTTTTCCATTATTGAGAAAGCCATCTTTTCCCCTCATTATGTCACTTTTATCACAAATCCAGTTACCATTTATACGTAGGCTTATTTCAGGATTTTTTATTCTGTCCCATGGTCTCTTTGTTCATCCTTGGGATAATATAATACCACACTAGTTGAATTACTACTGTTTTTTTAATAAGTCTTGATATCTAACGCTAACACATTTTCCAGTTTTGTTTGACTGTAACAGTATCAAAACCATTATTGTTGGTTTATATTTCTATTTTAGAATCAGCTTGTCAATTTTTAATTACAAGTGCATGGAATCTATAGATAAACTAGGGGAAAACTGAAATCTTCACAATTGAATTATTCAGTTTCTAGCCATGGTATGTTTTTCAACTTTCAAATGCTAATTTAATTACAGTTTTTCTCGTCAGTGTTTCAAAACAATAACACAGATGGCATCCCCCCACTCCCCACCCCATAGTATGGTACTTCCAACTTTAAAAGCAGAGATTGAAATCGGTATTTGACTAGCCAGAACCAAAACATTGACCAACAAAAAAGATGGGTAAGACAGTAATATTTTTCTGTAGAATCCTAATCTTTTGAAGAGGATGTAATTGGGATAGAGCCATGATTTAATTCAAGTGAGACAGGATTGTCAAGTTCATCTGTTGCAATTACTCATGTGTGTCTCAACGCATTTTTATTATGTAACCAGATCCATTTTACTGTGATTTTTAACGTTACCCCGCCGATGTCTGTGCTCACTGCATGGGATGGTGGAGTGGATAAGTATCCATGGCATGATGTTTAGTGGTAAATGTTCTTTCCAGGCTAGCGTTTGCTTTCCTTATAAACCTTTGTTTGTTTGTTTCACTCTAGGATTGCCCTTTCATTGTCTGTATGACCTATGCCTTCCACACTCCAGACAAACTGTGCTTCATCCTGGATCTCATGAACGGTAAGGGAAACGTGGGAAGTCTGAGTATGGACGACTTTGCCGTCATGTTAAATCTTACTGTGGGCAGGTGGAGCCTCGCTCAATCTGAAATTCCCAATCTGACACTTTTTGAGGGCTGACGTGATACCGTTAGTAGAAAACGTCACTCCTCACCTCACACGTGGGCCATAGTCGAATGCTGCAGCACAGGAACACTGCTGAGAAGTACCTTGTGGCTATGTGTACACGAAACATCAATGATTCTGTGTTTCAACGTGGGTCCCACCCCCAAGGTATCTCATTGCACATTTGTAAATGTTCTTAAGTCCAAAAGATCCAAAATCCAATACACTTCAGGTCTCAAGTATTTTGGGCAGAGTACTCAACCTGTATTACTATAGACAGACTGGAAATTTAGGTCTTCCAGATAATTAAATTCCTCTTAAAGAAAGCTCTTTCCCCTCCCCTCCCCTTTCCTTCCCATTCTTCCCTTTCCTTCCCTCCCTTCCCCTCCCCTTCCCTCCCCATTCTCTCCTTCCCTCCCCCTCCCTCTCCTTTCCTTCTCTCCTCTCCCCTCTCTTCCCCTCCCCTTCCCTTCCCTTCATTTTGTAAATTGCCAAAGGGCATGTGCACTCATCAGAGACAGGAAGAAAGCACTCCCAAGTGGTGCTGGCCATGCTGCAATCCTCTTTTCCTCCATTGCCCCATTCTGTCGGAATCTGGGGCACACATACACTATGTGTCTGGCATGTTCTTCAAGCTACCAGGGCAGGAATTTGAACTGTGGTGAGACATTTGGGATCTGGCTCCCAACGCACTGGGCTTGACTGCTAGCCTACAGGGGTGACCCCGGGGAAAGCGCTTATCCTCCAATTTTCAGTTAAAATTCACTCAAAAATGTTGGCCGTGATTACCTCCGGACCTCCCCGTCTCTCTCCAGGAAGTTGGATTTTCTTGAAAAGATTCTCAGAAAATACTTAGAGTGAAACTTGGTTTTCTGGATACAGCTGGCCTAGATCTTTAATTAGCTTATTTCTTGGCCCTCAACTCTTGGTGATGAAATGCATCATAGGACTATAGGCCAAAGATAGGACTGTACATAAGAACCGACTCAGAAGCACTGACTGGGCCAGTACAGATTTTTAGCCCAATCTTCCATACCTCCCAAATCTTCAGTGTGAATGTTGGTCTTTGAACTATGAGCAGTCACCCTGTGAATGCTGAAAACTGCTCAGCTACAAAAGTAACTTTCTAATACTAGACAGTGACATGGGGTATATATTCAAAGGACCATCAATATCAAGAGCTGAACTAGCAAGACATACAATTCAACAACTCAAAGCCTATTTTTTTTTAAACTTTGTACGAAGTTTTATTATGTTGTGAATATTTGGTTTAAAACCAGATTTATCAGAAAACATGAAAGAATTTTATGCCCAGACACAATAATTGACAGAAGAAGCTAGACACAGCAATGTATATCCTTCAGTGATCCCACGTATGTGAGTGTCAGGACAGACAAAACTAATAGATGATGGAACCAGCAGTTAGCGTAATGGCTATGTCGCTGGACTCCCACGTAGTCGACAGCAGTTCAAGTCCCGGACCTGGTGGCTTAAACTCATGCTGGGCGTGTGTGCGTGCGTGCCCAAGATCCTGAGAGGAGAATGGAGGAGAAGGGATTGCGGCATGGCCATCCCACCAGGGGGTGATTTCTTGCTTTCTGTCTCCCCGTCTCTCTCTGTCTTTCTGGCGAGCACACAAGCCCTATAGCAAAAACCTGTCCAAACAAACAAACAACAACAACAACAACAACAACTAGTCGATGACGAGCAAAGGTAGGAGAGGTCCCTGCCTGACCAGGAGCTGGGATCTGAGGTGCTGACTGGACAAGGGCGTGAGGGAGCCTGCCGGGGTGCTGGACAGCTTCACGTCTTGATCCAGTGGTGGTTATTGAGGGACACAAGGCATCTCCAAAACGTTTATGGAAAATACTTGTTATGAAAAGACTGTGTGAGGATTTTGATTCTTTTTTTTTTTTCATTGTATTTTTTCCATGAACATTTTGAATCCCCCCCTCGTATGTAAGGAGAGGAACAACACTCGTAACAGGCCAGGGCCATAAGATTGAGACACATTAACTTTTATGAGTCTATAAAGACTCCTGCCTCGAGTTGGTGGCGTTCTCCATCTCTGGAACTTGAGGCCATATGGTTAGTTTCTTCTTCCAACATTTTTGAAACATATCGGACATGTAGCCAAGTTGGAAGAATTTTACTGAGTTCAACCAAATACCCACCACCTGGACTTTTCCAGTTAAAATTGTACTGTATTTGCCTTATCAGATATCTATCCACACGATCTACTTTGATTTTTTATTTATTTATGTTTTTACCTGTCTCCAGAGCCAGACGCCAAGCCACCTGTTGGATCACTCCCTAGGTTTACTCAGGTATTAGGATGTAAGCAGCAGAGCGGGTTAGCTAGTCCCACTTTGCGATGAGTGACTAGGTGCTGAGCTGCCCACCCAGGATGGTTGCGTGTATTTTAGTGTATTGTCCAGCCATGCATCATTGCGTCCGTCTGCTCAGCGCTTACATTTTCTCTAGAATGTGTAAAGTGTTTGGTCAAGCTGCAAAATTTCAAGCAAGGTGTACCGGCTAAACAGAAGCATAGTTCACCTCTTCTCCTGTGTCTCTGCTACTGGGGACAGCAGTGTTTGTTCTGTTTAAGTGGTTCTGCTTTGGATGAGATTCTGAATCTCTGATTCCAGGGGGCGATTTGCACTACCACCTCTCCCAACACGGGGTGTTCTCCGAGAAGGAGATGCGGTTTTACGCCACGGAAATCATTCTGGGGCTGGAGCATATGCACAATCGATTTGTCGTCTACAGAGATCTGAAGGTGAGGCCGGTTGGCAGATTCATTCTGTGTGTGTGTGGGGGGGTGGTGGTGGGGCTCTGCTGATGGCCCTAGTCTTCCAGAGAGTCCTGTCACTTTCCTCATAGCCCTCATCCCAGCCCGATGACGTCATCATCTGGGTGATGTCTGTTTCTGCCACATCGGATGCTGCAGGGATGGGACAGCCTTCCTCACTGCCATCACTGCAGTGCCTGATGCCGCAAGTCAGAACACTGAGTCAGGGCCAGCAGGGGGCGTGGTGGTTAAGGCGTTGTACACGCCCACATGACCTACCATGATTCGAGTCCTGGAGCTAGTGACTTGCTTTCTCACTTTCCTTCTCTCTCTCTCTGTCTCTCTCTGGTCAAATTAAAATAAATGAATGAATAAATAAAATAAATAATTCTTTAAAAAAAAACCCACTAAGTAAAAAATGTTAATGGATTAATTAATGAAAAGCAGGGTAGGTTTTTGGATTTTTTTTTTTTTTGTAAGTTTTACTCTAGGGTACCGAGAGAGAGATGGAAAGTGAGACAGTCACTCCTCAGGAGGATGGCTGCGCAGTCATCCCTTTTCCTCCGTTCTCCTCTTGGGATTTCAAGTACGCATACACATGGACCTGGCATTGGCCACACAGCTGGCCAGTGGGAACCGTTAGCTTTCTGGACCACCACACCTGTGACTGGTCCGGGGTAGGAATTTTTTTTGTGTATTCTCCATTTTATGATTCATTGCAACTCAATTAATGTTCATTACGCAGCACAAAGTCAAAAACTTTAACTGATTAATGAATGAAAAGCAGAGTAGAAGTTCTTTTTGGTGTCATCCATTTTATGATTAATCGCACTTCAATTAATGTTCACTAAGCACTAATTTGGCCATGGCTCTCTGTACGAGCTGGAGATGTGTGACGATGAAGCAGCAGAGAACACCCATCTTATTGGGCTCGTAAACTGTGAGCCAGGACGTAGAAGGGCTGAGTCATAGCTCCTCAGGCAGGGCTGGTCCTTGAGGGGTGGATGGCTGATCAGCCTGGAGAATGCCCTCCAGAGGTCACTCTCACAAGTGTCACATGGCTTGGAGATCACTTTAAAAATCATGAATAGATTTTTTTTTTTAAAACAAGTATTTCTCCTTTATTCATAATAGAGCATGTGCATGTAAGAATGAGAAAGAGAGAGAGGGAGAGAGGGAAAAGGACTCTTCACAGGGTCACACCTGGGTGTCTCTTTCCCAGTCCTCCGTACAGTTAGATCTCGGGTGGTCTTGTGTGCGCCCGGCCTGTTTCAGATGTCCCAGGCTGGGGATTCAATCCATGGCTGCCATGTGGGACCCACCTGCTCTTGGGCAGGGCACTACCACTGCACCGTGGAGCCGACCTGTACTTGTTAGCTTTTTTTGTTTTGTTTAGTTTTAATTTGCTCCAGGTATGTGTACTCACTGGAGAGACAGACACACAGAGAGAGAAGGTGAGAAAGCAACATTCCCCCATGGGGGATGACCACACCCAAGTCCCTTCTCCTTCATTTTCCTCTTAGGATTTTGGGCACACATGCATATGCACCCAGAGTGTTTTTAAAACCATTAGGTCCAGGACTCGAATCTCAAAGTCAACCATGTGGGATCAAGCCACTTCAACCACCATGCTATCAGCTGGTCCCATTTTTTAGCTTTTGAAGGTTACCTTTTAAAATATTTTTAAAAATTATATTTTATTTCTAAGCATAATTTTTTTTTCACAAAATATTTTGAATTTTAAAGCTCTTTATGAGGTTAACGAACCATTAGTTTTCATAGGAGCATGAAGGAAAAATGTATTTTTATTGAAGTAGAAACAATTACATACTGACTGGCACATGGTATTTTGTTTCCTCGTATGAGTTTTACAGAAGAATAAAATGCACGCTGAAGGCCCATGAAGTGCTATTGTAATATATTCCAATTTAAATCTATAACCGGTTTCTAATCATCTTTATGCCGTATTTTTGTTTTCTAACACTATTTAGTAGGCAATGGTATTATTTAATTTCCATTCAAACCTAATTCTAGTCACTCATGATTATTCATGCACCCATTTTGTAAGAGCATATCATTATTTTTATATCAAGCAAAACAATAGTTGATCTCCAGGAGGAAAGTATTAGGATGACTGTAATTCAATGTATATTAGGGAGAAGAGCTTTGTTTTCCATGGTTATGCTGACTAAATCTAATCTAGATGGCTACATTTCATCAGAGTTGTGGTCCAAATCGTATTTGGTCATTTGGTCGGGCCCGATGTTGATGATGTATGAATCAACAGAGAGGACATTTATCGGGATTAGTGTGGCGCTGTGGAACATTTGGGTTCCTTAAATCCGGGTTAGTACATTCTTGCAAGATTCCCCTCCATTCAGCACTTACTGGCCTTGTTCTCAGAAGTGCTATGGCTCACTTAAGGTGGTGGCCTCGCCACCCGCATCGCCAAGAGGCACACTGTTCTGGGTATACCGTAGTTCTCCGTACAATGGAAAGGAAGTGCTTCTAACTTGTTGAACTGTGGCCATGACCCTTCTGTGTTACCTACCCTGTGTTTCATTTCTTTTTTTCTTTTATTTTTTCAAGAACTATTTATTTAATTTTATTTATTATTATTATTTTAAAATTTGTTACAGGGTATGTGTGCTCATCAGAGAGAAACAGAGAGAGAGGGAAAGTGAGGAAGCAAGCCATCAGGTTCGAGACTCGAACATGGTCAGCCACGGCAGAGTCCAGCGCCTCAACCACCACACCACCTGCTACCCCCCTGCATTTCATTTTTAATGAGCAGAATCCTTTACCTCTACATTGCCACATTCTTGTTGATGTTAACATGGAAGACATTATTCCCAGTATCAGGCCCTACTTTGATGTGATGGTATAAACTATACAATTGTTGACTCTTGGACAACTGTGGGTTTGAAATGCGTGGGTCCACTTCCACGTGGATGTTTTTCAAGAATATTGTAAATTTATTTTATTTGTCTCTTTTTTAATTGCCAGAAGGCCTGTGTACTTGCCAGAAGAGAGAGAGAAAAAAAAAATCAAGCAAGAGAGAGAGAGAGAGAGAGAGAGGAGAGAGTAGCCCCAAGGGGAGCATGGTTGTGCCACTATCCCTTCTCCATTTCTCCATCCCATTGGGTTTTAGACTTGCACACATGTGTACCCAGCATGCTTTGGGCCACGATTCAAACGGCAGTTGGCCATACGGGATCTGGCTCCCTTAATCACTAGGCTTGAGGTTGACCCTGTGTTTTCGTTTTGCTTTTTAATTTTATAAATGACATTTTCTTTTTTCTAGCTATTTTTTATTGTAAGAATACAGTATATAATACATGTATGACATATGTACTAATTGACTGTTTACATTGGTAAGGCATCTGGTCCACAGTAAGCTATTGGCAGTTACGCTTGGGGGAGTCAAATTTCTGACTGTGTGAGCAGTGGTGCCCTGACCCCCATGTTGTTTGAAGGGCAACTCTAATTCACATTTAGGAGCAAACGACGAGAAATGATAAGCTATCTAGCATGTCTGTCTGTGGAAGACCTCAAAGTCCCTGTGGCACTCTGGAGACTCTCTAAGATCATCTCTTTGTGTTTAGCCCGCAAATATCCTTTTGGATGAACACGGACACGTAAGGATATCAGATCTCGGGCTCGCCTGTGATTTTTCCAAAAAGAAGCCGCACGCGAGCGTGTAAGTAGCACGTCACTCAATCCCTGTCTGCTGTCGTCTGTTCAGGGTGTCCCATGTATCCTGTCAGACGCTGGCCTGGACATCGGCTCTGCCGCTGCCTCTCATCAGCGGTGATTTTCAGTTTGTGGTTATGCTGGGTCAGGGAGACCCGCTATTACAGCAGCAGGAGAGGAGAGGAGAGCGAGTGTGTCTGTCACTGTCGCCGGGGTGCATGCATTAACCCCCAGTGTCACTCTTCTGCCCAAGGTCCAGCGTCATCTCCTGCAAAGAGTCGACTCTCAAAAGAAACCTGAACTCATGCTGTCTGTGTGACCCCAAGTCTGTCAGTGAACCTGCTTGACCCTTGGTCTCTCCGTCCACAAAGTAGAGGCGATCGCAGGTCGTGAGGATAGAGGGAAGAGCCCGTGTGCTGAGGGAGGCACAGCCGCAGCTGCCCAGAGCCCTGCACGGCAGGCCCTCGGCCGTTTCTCCCTCCATCATTTCTTGTTTTCCAAAAGACTTCTTTTTAATTTTATCTAATTTAAAAAAAAATTTTGCTATAGGTGTGTGCACTTATCAGAGAGAGACAGAGGCAGAGAAGGAGAGAGAAAGTGAGAAATTACTCCCCAGGGGGACGTCCACACCACAGTCTCTTCTCCATTTTCTTCTTGGGATTTTCGGCACACACACACACACACACACACACACGTGCCTGGTGTGATTTGCAAGCCTCCAGTTCTAGGACTTGAATCTTGGAGTTGGCTATGTGTCGCAGTCTTAACTTCCATGCCACTTGCTGGCTCAAGACTTCTTTTCTTAAAAGGTAAATTAGTCTTTTAAACAAACAAACAAAAGAAAGTAGTAGGGCATATACCGATAGCAGTTCAAGATCTCACTATCGTCATCGTGGTAGATTGGGAGTCGCCCCAGTCCTCTGAGTTGCTATGTGGAGGTGGCTCCTGAGAGCACAGTCCTCAGCCAGCGCCTGGCAGCTCATGGACTGACCTGCGTCTGGCAGTGGCCAGGCCTGACGGGGGCATGCCGGCCCTGGCCCAAGGCCTTCTGAACCGGGGGTTGCTCAGAAGGTGCAGGAGCCTGTGGCCGCTCCCCGAGCCTCTGCAGAGACAGAGCAGAATATGCACTGGCTGTTACTCCTCTTTCTTTGATATCAGCTTACCCAGGTGGAAAGTGTGGACACGTGGGAACCAGCAGTTAGCATAATGGCTATGTTGTTGGACTCCCACATAGTCGACCGTGGTTCATGTCCCGGACCTGGTGGCTTTTAAAACTCATGCTGGACACGTGTGCGTGCGTGCCCAGGATCCCGAGAGGAGAATGGAGGAGAAGGGATTGTGGCGTGGCCATCCCCCTGGGAGGTGATTTCTCGCTTTCTGTCTCTCTGTCTCTCTCTGTCTGTCTGGCGAGCGCACGCGCCCTATAGCAAAAACCTCTCAAAAAAAAAAAAAGTGTGGACACGTGTGCAAATTGTGGAAAAGCAGACAACTTGTGCTTTCTTTTGTCTTTCCGAATGTCTCATTCTTAGCACCAAATCTTTTAGAATCCTGTTTCATTAGCATCTGTTCGTCTCCGGGCCGGATGGTCTTGCAGAAACCCCCAGGAGTCACATTTCGTGCATCCGTGTGGAAAATAAGCTCCAGACCCTTCTCTTTGTGTAACTCAAAGTAAAGTGGTTCTGAATCGCAACACTTGATGAGGGACGGGATTAATCAGCGCGGCCTTGTAAAGCCCCGATCACATGTAATCGTGAGCAACTCCATCTTCCTAAACAGACTTCTCTTTTTCTACCAAATCTGGGATACAGCGATAAAAGCATTAGCATTTTGCTAGCACTTTACAATTATTAGGCCGGAACCTGTGGTTGTATAAGCTTCTCTCAGGGAGTTGATCAGACATTTTTAAGAGAGTCATTTGAATGTTTAATGCCTCAGCTATTTGGTATGCTAATTTCTTCCATTTAGTATAGTCATAACTAAATATGAATCCCAGGAGTTCCTAAGAGTTAATCTTCGAAAGGAATTAACTTTCGGTCATGGGGTTATTTAATTTCTTATAGGGCCTAGCCCACTTTTGACTGTAATTCGCACATCAGCTCTGTGGATTGTCCTTCTGCCTGCTCTGGAAAACACAGCATTTAAATAACATCCGTAAAGAGGTGGGATTGAGAAGATGGGCGTCCGGGTTTAAATAACGATAGTGACACCAGTACTTAAAAAATGTATCATGATGGGGCCAGAAGGTGGCGTGGAGTTTAAGGCGCTGGATCCCACATGGCTGAATGCACGGTTTGAGTCCTGAACCCAGTGACTTGAAAAACACGCTAGGTGTGTGTGTGTGTGTGTGTGTGTGTGTGTGCATGCCCCAAATCCTGAGAGGACTGGGATGGGATTGTGGCATGGTCATCCCCCCAGAGGGGGTTTTCTTTCTTTCTGTCTGTCTCTGGCAAACTCACATGCCCGACTGCAAACTAAAAAAGAAAAAAAAAATGTAATGCAATACCATATATATCTTAGGGTTTTTTTTTTTTTGCCATAGGGCATATGTGCTTGCTGGAGAGAGAGAGAGAGAGAGAGAGAGAGGGAGGGAGGGAGGGAGAGAGAGAAAGGGAAAGGGAAAGTGAGACATCACTTCCCAGGGGGATGGCCATGCTGAAATCCCTTCTCCTCTATTCTCCTCTGGGAATTCTAGGCGCACATTCACACATGCTTAATCTTCAAGCTGCCGGGTCCAGGACTTAAATCACGGTTGGCCATGTGGAAGTCCAGCACCTTAACCACCACACCACCTACAGGCCCCTACAGTACTATATTTTTAAGTCAAAGAGGTGTTTATTTTGTGGCTAAGAACATGGGCTTTGGAGTCACCAAATCTGGGTTTGAATTCTTCCAGGTCATGGCAGCCTCATTTTTCTCCTCGGTGAAGGAGAGAGAACCACTCCGTGTTTGCCTCATAGGATGGTTGTGAGGGCTAAATCGACTCATTGGTTCAACAAGCATCTCTGTAGCATTTGCCCTGTGCCAGCTGCTGGCAATGCAGTGGTGTGTGAGGGCCAGTCCCCGACCTCGTGGAACTACCAGCCATTAAGTGGCGGTGAGGGGGTTGGTGCAGCACCTGCAGCATTTTCAGAGCTACTGGCTGAGTGTCAGGTACCCCAGGCATGCATAGCCAACTCCTGGGAATAGTTAGCTAATAATAGGTATTATTATCTATTTTATATTTTATTTATTTTCTTAGAAAGATTTTTGATATAGGACGCGTGCACTTGCCAAAGAGACAGAAAGACACAGAAAGACAGAAGGCAAGAAATCACCACCCCCACCCCCCCACCCCCCATGGCCATGCCACAATTCCTTCTCCTCCATTCTCCTCTCGGGATTTTGGGCATGCATATACATGTGCCCAACGTGAGTTTTAAGCCTCTGGGTCCAGGACTTGAATTGCAGTGAGCCATGTGGCAGTCCAGCAATGTAACCATTACTCTATCTGTTGGTTCCTTTTGGAATTTTTAGAGAGTTTTTATTTTTTTTTATTTTTTTGCTGTAAGGGTGAATGTGTTCGCCAAAGACAGAGAGAGAATGAGAAAGTGAGAAATCACCCACCTGGAGGGATGGCCATGCTGCAACCCCTCTGTTACATTCTTCTCTCAGGATTTTGAACATGCAAGCACACACGCTCAACTTGACTTTCAAGTTGCCAGGTCCAGGACTAGAACTGCATCTGCCTTGTGCGAGTCCAGCACCTTAACCACTATGCCACCTGCTGGCCCCAGTTATCTACTTTTTCTGGTATGGAAAATGAGGTCTAGAGAAATCAAGTATCTTGAACAGTCAGTCATGTAGCCGACATGCCCTGAGGCTAGAACTGTAATCCCCTTGTGGCTGACTCCAAAGGCTGGGTACTTTACATGGCATAGGTGCACACCCTGAGGCTTTGAAATGATCTACGTAGTACTAAACATTTCGGGCCAGAGTTTCATCCCAAACTTGGTTTCTTGGGTCTTTTCAAAGCTGTAAATGTGATCTTGGGACCTCATCTGATGACTGGCCCATCTGCAATGTAGGTTTGTGATTGAGGTTCCTGTTTTTTTTGAGAAGTTTTTGCTACAGGGTGCCTGTGCTTACCAGAAAGAAGGAGAGAGACAGAAAGTGAGAAACCACCCACCAGTGTGGATGGCCACGCCACAATCCCTTCTCCTCCATTCTCCTCTCGGGATCTTGGGCGTGCATGGGCATGTACCCGGTGTGAATTTAAGCCACCAGGTCCGGGACTCAAACCACAGTCGACTACATGGGAGTCCAGCGACATAGCCATTATGCCAACTGCTGGTCCCTTGAGGTTCCTGTTTTGAGCCTAGACTGAGTCCTTCTAATGACACAATCACAAATGATCATAAACTAAGACATTAATTGTGGAGTCTCCGTGAAAAATCAAAGGACTTTTGGACTTGAACAGCTTGTCAGTGACTAATTTGAGCACGAGCTTGTTTTATCTTAGAACACAAAGCTGCGCCTCATGTCACGGCGTCTTAAGACGTTCAAGTGTTCTTTCCATATTAATCATCGTACAGCTCTGTAGCGGAATGTGTCAGGAAGCCTTGGTGCCTACCGTGGAGGCAGAATCCGGAAACCACAGTGACAGGCTGTCTGATGTTGGCTTTAATGTGTCCAGTGTAAGCTTGGCACACCGATTTACATTCGCTTCCTTCATTTATCCCTGTAGATGTTTTTACATTACAGAGCTGTGCCTCGATCCCGGGAGTGAAATGTTAAAAGGCCACCATGGGGGCGGGTTGGGGGAAGGTCTGTTAGGCAGCACTGCAATGAATCCTTCCCATCCTGTGTAGAAATGCCCAGTGCTCTCGCACTGAGTCTCCGCGATCCTCTTCAAGTTCTGGATGGCAGGCTTTCTAGAACACTACACCTGCCTCGATGGACCCTTCAGAAACTTTCATAAAATGAAGTGTCTTAAAATTCATGGAGAATGTGTATTATGAAAAACCTATGCCTAGATTTCAAAAAGAATTTTGAATCCAAAGCAACTCGTGCTTTAATTCCATTTCCCATGAACTTCTTGCAGTCCCTTCGTTTATCTCTTAGACAGAAAGTTCTGGACCCAGTGATGGACCCAGAGTCATTGATGATCCAGGATCCCTTTTTATTTATTTATTTTTCCTGAAAGGATGCCCACCATTGGCAAGCATAAGCAAGTTAAAAATGGCGAGATAAGAATGGAGGTTTAAAATCCCCCTCCTGGATTGAGTTCTGTGCTCACGGTATTCGAAACCTACACATACATGCACTCCTCACAGCTACCCTGAGAGACAGAGGTGTTATCTTATTACCCATTTTGCTGGCGAAGAAAGTCAGTGAAGGATGAAGAGGCTGTGGGCACACAGATAATGGCGTGTGAGGGTCCCTTTCGGGCTGCATCTTTGAAAACTCTCATCATCCGCCTCTCACCGCTCACCATAGCACCGTGCAGCCTCAGCTCTTCGTGGAGGGGCGGGGAGTTGCAGAGCGTGAACTAAATCTGCCATGGTTGTCCTCCCAAGGGATCTCGATTCCCTGAAAACCAGCTTTGCATTTGCTCAGCACTGAGTCCTCTGTCCTCGAGCGGCTCTTAAGACCTGGCACGTTGTTTCTCCATCTTACACCCTGGTGGGCTTGCACTCCCACCTCTCTGCTCCTCTGGGGTCTGTCCCTGGCTGTGACCCAGCTAGAAATCTGCTCCCTTAGCAAGCGTGAGCTCAGGTCCTCACGTGAAAGGTGGCACTGCACAGGGGTGGATGTCCCTGTGCCCTCGAGATCCACAGCACTTCGGCGTACTTGTATGCTTGTCTCCCCCTTTCCTGCCTCGCCAGATCCACACCTCTCAACGCAGGAGCTCATGAAGGGCAGGACTGCTCTTTTTTTTTTTTTTTGAGAGGTTTTTGCTATAGGGCGCATGCACTCGGCAGACAAACAGAGAGAGACAGAGAGACAGAAAGCGAGAAATCACCCCCCAGGGGGGATGGCCACACTGCAATCCCTTCTCCTCTCGAGATCTTGGGCACGCACGCACACGTGCCCGGCATGAGTTTAAGCCACTGGGTCTGGGACTCAAACTCCGGTTGGCTACATGGAAGTCCAGCGACATAGCCATTACGCTAACTGCTGGTCCCAGGGCAGGACTGCTCTTTACAGCTGGAGTCGAGAAGGCCTAAGAGTGTTCTGGTGTCACCTCCTGGACCCCGGCGTGCACGCTTGGCACATTCCTGCCGTGTGCTCATCCGTGCACACCGAGTCGCGTACTAATGAAGGCAGAGACACTTGCTTTCCCACTGGCCGCAATGACTTTGTCGCGCTGGTTCACAGTTGCCGCCCTTCACTAGGTGACGCCGACCCTCTGGATCAGCTCTGAGCACTGTCTAAGCCAGGTGTGCTCTGGTAACTGCGTGTGTGCTTTCTTCTCCCTAGTGGCACCCATGGGTACATGGCTCCCGAGGTGCTGCAGAAGGGGACGGCGTACGACAGCAGCGCTGACTGGTTCTCCCTGGGCTGCATGCTGTTCAAACTTCTGAGAGGGTGAGTGTGACGCACCCTTCGGGTGTTGCCATTAAAGCCTAGACTTGGCTCAAATCTGACTCCACTTAGAATCGACTTGACCCTACCGTTACCTCGAATCGCACGGTGAGGGATCGCTAAGCCACCTGCTACCGTGGAAGGTGACCACAGTGGCTCTTTGTCCCTTGTCAGAGTGAGAGCTACTTTCCTAAAAGCTTAAAGCTCAAAGCTTACGGCTTAGTACAAAGGCTCTTCAAGAAGTTCACGGAAAATGCATATTAAGTAAAAATTACGCATGGATTTCAGAAAATTTTTGGCACCCAATAAAATACTATAACCCCGTTTTCCATAAACTGTTTGAAGTACTCTTGTATTTTTTTATGCCTTACCATGTAGGGTCACAATACTTTTATGCCTAAAATATGAGCATTTTGACATGCTTCCTTTGATGACTGTGTTCTGGGAATAAATATTGTTTTTATTTTTTTACTTTATTTTATTATTTTTTTTTTTGGAGAGGTTTTTGCTATAGGGCGTGTGCACTCGCCAGACAGGCAGAGAGAGACATAGAGACAGAAAGTGAGAAATCACCCCACAGGGGGGATGGCCACGCCGCAATCCCTTCTCCTCCATTCTCCTCTCGGGATCTTGGGCACGCGCGCACACGCGCCTGGCATGAATTTTAAGCCCCTGGGTCCGGGACGCGAACCACGGTCGACTACGTGGGAGTCCAGCGACATAGCCATTACGCTAACTGCTGGTTCCCTGGGAATAAATATTGTTTTAAAATGTGGATACTTGAAGGAGTAACACATATTTCCCCCCTAGAAATGTATTACTCCTGATTTCCTGGTGGACTTAAAGCATTTTGAGGATTAACAACAACAAAAAAAGATGAAGACCCCAAATAAACCCATTTTAAAAGTTTGCATTGCTTTGTAAACATGCCAGTTATTGTAACTTTGTGTTTTTAAAACTAATATTTGACCCTAGTTCTAAACGACCAAAGGTGATGAAATAGAGTGGAAAAGATTATAAAAGGAGGGTACTTTCAAAACATATTTTCCTATTGAACACTTAACAACTATGTTAATGTTTCCATTCATTTAAAGAGGTCTTCGTCCATTGTAGTGGATAACAAACATTTTTATTATTTGTCACTCAGAAATATACAAAAAAGCCACTGTATTAAAATGTCCCAGTCAAGGATTTCTTCCCAGTATCTCTCCTCTGGGCACAGGCCCAGCAGCTTGCTAGACTTTTCACGTTTCCATCAGAAAATCTCACCACGCGCCATGGCCCCATCTTCTTCTGTTTAGCGTATTCTGAAGAGAGGCTGAATCCCACAGTTCCCCAAACGAAGTTCTGAGCACCCTCGCTATTTCCCCAGGACTCCAGTAATCCAGTTGTTGTGCGCTCACTGCATTCACTTGGGATCTAAAATTGCGTTATTGCTCAGGATGGCAGGTCCTGTTATGCCTTAATGGAATGATTTGATTTGTGGAGCCTGGCGGGCCTTAATTCCTGTCATCAGACCAGCTGACCCAATTAGAGAGTTTATACAGAGCAAAGCAGAGAGAGTCTACTGCCCACGGGAGATGCTCTTCTCCCCGGCGGTCACTCGTACGCACAGCATGTCCATGAAGACGAGCCACAAGTCTTTGTTTTGGATCTCTGTGGGCGACGTGGTTAGAGATACAGAATCTATACTTAATGGAAATTGGAGATGATTTAAAAAATAAAAAACAAAACCAACAACAACAGAAAACTGCACCAGCTGGACTGCTGAATGGAAAACGCAACAGTAAAATTTAACAGGAGAAATCTGCGAAGTCTGATATTCAGGGCTTTGTTTGCTTCTCGATTTCATTATTCTATTTGTTAAAATGTCCATGTGTATAGACCGGGGAGGATTTGGCATAGGGTACTTTATTTTTTCTAAAAGGTCGAAGGATTCCATTATTAACTGTCTGTGACCCAGCAATGTGATTTGTGGCTAAGAAAGGGAATTGTATCATTTGGGCATATTTAAGTTTGGAGGACTACATTAGAAGACGTCCATTCCTTTGTGGATCCTTGATGAAGCGTGCTCAAAGCATTCTGTTCAGCGTGGCTCTTGGTGAAGGGCGTCTTGGCAGCCAAGAAGGCATCCAGAGGATGGTCATGATGGTGGCATGGGACTGAGGAAATGGGGAGGGAATGATGGCAGGCCTGGAAACTAGGCTTGAATGGAAAGGTCAAAAGAAGAAGGTATAGGACTTAGGGGAGTCCAGATGGATTGACACCAGCTGTTGGAAGACCAGATTATATAAGAGATCGCATTTGTGCCTCCTGAAGGTGGCATCTTGAGGAGAAAAGGCATGATCTCTGTTTGGTGCAAGAACAGCCATTCAAGCATTTGAGCTACCTAATGAAGGAATGTGTCCCCTCACAAGTCGCAAGTCCCTTTCACCATCTGGTGACCATTTATTGGGCCTGAAATAGAATCTTTCCAGTAGATGATAGGTTTGGATGAGATGTCCCTTTAAAGATTTATGATTGTGTGCCATTCTTTAGATCACATGGAAAAGATATAGCATGAAAACCAAAGAGCAAGGAAATATTTTTCGACTTTTGTACTTTGCATTAAATTTTGATATGCTTTTATTGAGTATTTGCAAAGTACACAAGACAGTGCTTGATGCTATGGGGAAGGAGGAGGAGGGAGGGTTGGCAGAAGGAAGGCAGGCAGGCAGGCAGGCAGGCAGGCAGCCATATTTAGGGAGGCACTTGCAGTCCAGGACAGAAGATGGAGATACACAAGCCCAGGAGAAGGGACTAGATGAACTGGGACATGTTACACAGGAGTGACATGCTGAGGACACGGAAATGGGGGAACTAATTCTAACTTGGGTGATTAGGGCTGATGTCACGGTGGAGATGGTCTACAGAGTAGATCATGAAGGGTAGATCGGGTGACCACAGGAAGATGGGGAGTGAGGAATAAGGATGGTTTCTCTGTGGTGTTGACAGCAAGGGGCAAGGGAGCTTGCTCTCCATCAGTGACCGGTGAGAGTGGTGGACCAGCCGATTCTCCTCAGAGGTGGCAGGAGGGTGTGCAGAGAGAATTTTGAGAAGATTGGATCTATTGGGATAGATCTCAATATTCCATGTGGTGGAGTTTGGCCGTTTTCCCTGAGGCCCCAGAGACGGAAAGCTTTTAAGCAGAGGAGTGACAGGGTGGGTGGTTTTTCAGTAAGGAGACTCTGGCTGCAGCGTGGAGCATGGAAGGAACAGAGACAGGAGGGAGGTGGAAGAGCCTCAGCAGGAGGCAACGAGCGCTTGAGCTGCACAGCCGGACTGGGGCTGGGAGGCAGGCAGTGTCATCGCAGTGCCGCAGTTAGACTCCTCCGTGTCATAGGCTTTTCTGGAGAACATGCGAGACAGGGAGACAGAACCTCCAGGAGGGTCCTGATGCCACGATTCAGCCCCTTACCTCAGTCAGCCTCTCATCATGGGGACACATGTGTCCAGTGAACTCAGGGAAGTCTCTGGATGAGAACCCAGAACCTTCCCATGTAGGGCAGCTTTGTAGAACGTCACATTTTACTGCCACGCGCCATTCTGCCCCTATTTTTTTTTTTTTTTTAGAGGTTTTTGCCTCAGGGTGTGTGCGCTTGCCTGAGAGCAAGACAGACAGTGAGCAGGAAACTGAGAAATCACCCTCTGGGGGGACAGCCATGTCACAATCCCTTCTTTTCCATTCTCCTCCGGGGGTCTTGGACATGCACACACATTTGCCTGGCCTGCATTTCAAGTCACCGGGTCCTGGACTCAAACTGTGATTGGCAATGTGGGAGTCCTGTGATGTAACTGCTACGCCATCTGCTGGCCCTCAGCTGCCCCTATTTAAATTTTTTTTTTTTAACAGATGCTTGTTAATGGAAGAATAGAAGTTAAAGATGGTGACAGGTTAGTTTCAAGAAAATTAGGAGAATAGCAATACCATTACCTAAATCAATACTCGTAAGAGTTCAGTGGTTTGAATTAAACTAATGTTTGTAGAGAGCTGTGCTTTCGGGAGTAAAACCCCGAGAAGGCTGGCAGGGGACAGACAATAACACGAGAGCCTTTGTTCCCTCAAGTGTGAGTGACAGGATAGTGTCACCAGTGCTTGTTCACAGAGGTGCATGTGGGATAGACTCTAAGTGACATCTGTAAGCTTCCTCTATCTTTTTCATATGCTGTACAGAGGAGACCCCAGCGGCTATCTTTCCTTGGGCATGGGGAGTGGAACAGGTGGATGGCAGGGCACTGTCTCGGACCTGCAGGGTACAGGTCCCACCAGCTCTCATGAACAGCCACCACTGGTCGCCCTCCTCACCCCCAGGGGCTGCCTGGGAATGAGTGGAGATATTCTTGGCGGTTGTGACTTGAAGTAGGGCTGAGCTGGCATCTAGTGGGCAGAGGTTAGGGATGCTGCTGGGTGTCCTATAGTGCACAGGACTGTCTTGTGTCCCCACTGCCCCAGCAGAGAGTTATCTAGCCCCAAATGTCAGCTGTGCCAAGGCTGAGGAGCGCTGCTCTAGGTAAGTCCCCTCTCCCCATGCCCCACCTCTGTGTAGTGAAGTCAGACCAGCGATCACCAAGGGTCCTCTTCATGTTTATTTTCTGCCATTTCATACTCTTTTCACTGACCAATGTGTCTCACTGCTTCTGCTGCGACACTTTTCTGCACCCCTTTTAGTCCTGACGCCCTAGAAGGATACCCCTAGGTATGTGGAGAAGAGATCAGGGTGGGAGGAAGTTGTCAAGGCTCAAGAAGGCATTTCGCATCCTGAGTCACAAGGATGTACCCCGATCACTCTTAAGTCATGGGGTTTTTGTTTGTTTGTTTTTTGCTATATATAGGATGTGTGTGCTTGCTGGAGAGACAGAGATACAGAAAGTGAAGATAACTCTTTTCACCTTGCTTCTTTTTTCTCTTTGCTTCCAAAGAGAAAAACATGTCATTACTGCATTTAATGCATCCCCAGGGGGGGATGGCCATGCTGCAATCCCTTCTCCTCTCAGGATTTTGGGTCCGTGCACACATGCACCTGGTGTGAGTTCTGAGTCCTCGTTCTGGGACTCGAACCGCAATTGACTATGTGGGAGTCCAGTCATGGAACGATTATGCCATTTGCTGGTCCCATATGCCATGTTTTGATGGGGCTTGCCACACTACTTCTGTTTCAAATGACTTTGCTGGATGCTTAAAAACACCTGCATGTGAAGATGGGTCCATGTTGCCAATGTGTGGAACTGTTGTCACAGCCCTCAGTCTGCCTTTTAGATGTCGATTAAGAAAAAGAATTGATGTGACAATGGCCTCGATTCTCGCTTGTCACCATTGATTGTCTTTTGCCGAAGGTGTCAGACCAGGGAGAGAGCCCGAGTGAGCCGTGACAGCCTGGGAAGAGTTGAGCACTGCCCCGGATTATTGCCTTTGATCCATGTAGTGGGAAAAAAAAAAAAAAAGGAATGTTTATAAATATGAAAGCAGCTCTGGGCTTAGGTTCCAGATGCATATTTGAGGTAACATGCAGTCCTTTCGGCATTCTCAAATTAACTGTGGGCGTGAAAGTTTTTATTCCCCTCTAATTGCAACACGTTGTTTTGAACTCATTGCTTCCCTATGACAATGACACACTCAGTGTGGGGTGTGCACGTGGGCTTCTTCATCTTTGGTATGTCTGGATCGATTCCCCAGCTTGTTGCAGGGGGGCTGTATATCTCTCTCACTGCATCCGCAGGTCAGAAGGTGAGGCTTGACCACCGCACGTGTGCGTTCTGTTCCCACGGCACCCCCACCCCCATGCACCGGAATGTCGCACGTGCTGTCAGGGGAACTTGGCCTCACGTCGCACGCTGCTGACAGGCCCTTTGCTGTCTCCTTCCTATTTAAAGCGGGCTGAATCAGGGAGCAGCTGCGATCACACAGGATCTGCGAGCACCACGTGCCTCCCGCAGAATGGAGATTATTACTATCGTAGGTTTTCTTTAACATTTTCCAAAATAGAAACCAAATCTCTGGCTTTGTTCACAAAGAATAATCAAGAATACATTGGAAACAGATGTGCATCGAGATGTCTAACTCGAAAGCCCAAACTTTCTCAACACCACAGCACAGAACTGAATAGCCGAAAAGCGCTTCCCGACAATTTCTCGCTGAGTTGGACGCGGCGTCGCTATATTTATAAACGGGATTGGTAGCGATAGGGGCCATGTGCTGGAAACGTTCTTGGCACCACTCACTTTAACTCAGTCCCCTTACGAGCCTCCCTGTGGTCTCATGAAAGACTTAAATTTAGCACAGAGCGTTTGTGTCAGAACACAGCAGGCCTTCTCTACAAGGTCAGAGCACGGCCCTTTCCTTCTTGGAGTCAGATGCAGGCAAGGACGAGAAGGTCAAGTTCAGGAGGGGGCCCCCTGGCTTTGCACACAGGGGCCAAGTTGGAGGGTTTACCAACACCCAAGGGGCTCTTAATCCCGTCTTATACCGTGTGGAACACTGTCTCGGGTACCCAAAGGGATTCCTTCTCCGTTGGATAGAAACAACTGAGTGTCCAGCAGGAGAGACTAAGATTTTAATGACTTAATACACTTTGATTCCTCTTCCCTGGAACTGTAAACATGGTTATTATTTCTGTGGATTCTGTATACGAGATTTTTTTTTAAAAGTTATCATCTCTTATAAATAACAGCTATTGTTTGTTTTTGTATTCAGTTTCCCTCTTAAATGCAGTAATGACATGTTTTTCTGTTTGGAAGCAAAGAGAAAAAAGAAGCAAGGTGAAAAGAGTTATCTGCAATCAAAATCTATTTTTAAGATTAGTGCATGATTGCTTGGTGCTAACGCACCTTGTTTTGATTGTTTTTCCTCCCAAATTAACGCTTTTTAAGAGACGGAAATTACTTTGTATTTTATTGCATAGTAAGGGAGAAAATGAAGCATCAGAGTGCCCTCTCTTGTGCACAATGAAAATTGGAAGTATTTAAGGCAATAAGCAGTATGAAATGTAGTAATCTCTTCAAGAGACGGTTCAAGGCATAACTTAACTCATTCAGTAGGATGGCCCGCCCAGTTGCAGTAAGAAGCAGTGAAGGATAAGCAGAATTTTAATCCTGTTTTACAATTCCATTGACTTATGTGTTTGACGTTTGAATCCATCTTATGAACTTAACATTCAATTGTTCTACATAATATCTTGCCTCAGATTATGTCCTATATTCCTTATCAATAAATTTATAGTATTCATCGCTTTACAGGCATGTCTTACTGTAAGAAAACTCAACCAAATGTATCCCACCCTTAATTTTCTGTTTTGGAGAAAGATTTCTGCCATAGGGTTCGTGTGCTCACCAGAGACACAGAGACAGATGGAGAAAGAGAAAGTGAGAAACCATCCCCCAGGGGGGAAGACCACACTGTAATCTCTTCTCCTCGATTCTCCTTTCGGGATTTTGGACACTCATGCACATGCTCCCAGCATGAGTTTCAAGCCACTGGGTCCAGGGCTCAAACCGTGGTCAGCCATGTGCGAGTCCAGCGCCTTAACCACTGTGCCACCTGCTGGTCCCTCACCCTTCACTTCCGCTCTGTGTTTCCCAAGTAGGCATTCATTTTACAAGGTGAGAGTCATCTTTAGGCAATTTCACAAATAAACACTGTACGCGGTACCTACTGTATACTGCAGTTGCCTTGACTACCCAGATAGTTTAGTTTCGCCCTGTCCCCATTCTGTGGAGTACGCGCAATGAAGTTTATAGCTGGTTCACAGCCAGTAAAGAGCCAAGTCAAACTGAAACCCAGGATTTCTGACTCAGAATTTGGGGGCTCTGTGTAGGGCAGGCATGAGTAAACGATCAGAACTCTGGAAGATCTGATATGCACGATCATTTTATCTTTGTTACCATCAAAGGGATGTATAACTTAAAATGACTGGTTTCTAGCAGCGAATCATGTTATTCTTGATTGTGTTTTGGTTTGACTGCAATTCCTTGGATTGCTTTAGGAACTGAAATCCATTTTGCTGGAAAAAAAAAATGCACAACGTTACTGTTAACTCCAGCTCTCTACCTATTGGCTAATTGTTTATTTCATTCTAATGATATGTTTTAATTGGAAAAGCAGATTTTAGTGCCACAGTTTTGCTGAAGCAAGGCTGAGGTGGTCCAAATAAGATGTATGGCATGCTCTTTCAGGACCCACCGTGTTTGGTCAACAGTTTTTCTCTGGGAATGATAAATGTTCACGGTTTTTATATTTTTAAAGCTTTGAATGAGCAGTGACAGGACATAATACTTTACCCAGATATTAGTCTATGACATGTGCTGTCACCCAATGCCATATTTTAATAGGATGTTCTTTATTTCTGCAGTCACAGCCCTTTCAGACAACATAAAACCAAAGATAAGCATGAGATAGACCGGATGACACTTACCGTGGTAAGTGGGTTAAAAAACTAACTTGTTTAATTGGAAAAAAAGAGATTTATTTGTTATTATTATTTTTTAATTTGACTGGGGCAGGGGGTGAGAAAGCAAGCTGCGAGACCCAGGACTTGACTGTGGTTGGCCATGTGGGAGTCCAGTACCTTCATCACCCCACCACTCACTGGCCTCTCTTATTTGCCTCTTAATTTTCAGGGTTTTACTCCTTTAAAAATAAAATCATTATATTGAATGTTAGATAAAATAATATAAAAATAATAAAGATTGCTTTCTTGAAATAAATACATGAAAATACAATTCCTAGAATTTCTAAACGAAAAATGAATGAAAGTAGATACCAAGGCAAAAAATCAAGATTTGGTAACAAGCAGAAAAAGATACAGAACACTGAGAATGAATTTCTTAGTTGCGGATGAGTCTAAAGGGACCTTTTATTTACTTATTTTTTTTTGGAGAGGTTTTTTACTATAGGGCGCGTGCGCTTACCAGACAGACAGACAGACAGACAGAGATAGAGAGACAGAAAGCGAGAAATCACCCCCAGAGGGGATGGCCACGCTGCAATCCCTTCTCCTCCATTCTCCTCTCGGGATCTTGGGCACACACACACGTGCACCTAGCGTGAGTTTTAAGCCACCGGGTCTGGGACGCGAACAGTGGTCGACTACGTTGGAGTCCAGCGACATAGCCATTATGCTAACTGCTGGTCCCTGAAGGGACCTTTGGGTCCTGACCTGGCCCCAGCCTGTTGACTGATTTTAAAATTAATTAGTAACCTTTTTATGTCTCTTTAGAATAAATATTAAAATGAGCCTGCACTTTCTTTTTTTTAAATTGCTAGATGTCATATGCACTCATCAAGGAGAAATAGGGAGAGGGAGAAAGCCCCCCACAGTGGGGTGTAGACAGGCTGTGAGCCCTTTTCTTCTCTTCCACTTCTCCATCCCTTCAGGATTTGGGGCATGCACACACATGCATCTGGTGTGGCGTTCAAGCCTCTAGGGCTGGAACTCAAACCGTGATCGGCCATGTGGGCTCCAGCTCCCTTAAACATGAGGCCATCGGGCCAACTGAGTCTGCTATTTTTTAGCTTTTAAGTCTGATCTGCTGTGAGAGCACTGTTTTCAGGAATGTATTTTTAAAATATTCCTCTTCTTTTCCCCAGAATGTGGAACTTCCAGATACCTTCTCCCCTGAACTGAAGTCCCTTTTGGAAGGCTTGCTCCAGCGAGAAGTTAGTAAGCGGCTTGGCTGTCACGGAGGCGGGTAGGCCACTGTTTCTGTTTCAGTGTCTTTACCCCAAAAATGAAACAGTCTTTTGAAAATATGTCAAAAATTATTCTAGTCCCTCAAAATATTCCATTTTGATTTAAAGGGGGAACATATCATGAGAAATATTCCATATGTATTTATGTGTTTTATAGTTAAGAAGTTGAAGAAGGTGCTAATTTTTTAACTTTAAAAACACCCTTTGCTAGTGATGGAAACTAATTCTGATATTATTTTATTTTATTTTATTTTATTTTACTTTATTTTATTTTATTTTTCTTTATTTTATTTTATTTTTTGGAGAGGTTTTTGCTATAGACACATGTGCTTGCCAGAAAGAGAGAGTCAGAGAGACAGAACATGAGAAATTGCCCTGGCCCCCCCTCCCAAGGGGGATGGCCATGCTGCAGTCCCTTCTCCTCCATCCTCCTCTCAGGATCTTGGGCATGCACGCACATGCACCTGGTGTGTTTAAGCCACTGGGTCTGGCACTCAAACTGTGGTCAACTACATGGGAGTCCAGTGACATAGCCATTACGCCAACTGCTGGTCCCAATTCTGACATTGTTGACAGTTTATTTGGTTCCGTTTTAGTAATGATTATAATTATGGCAGTTAAATATTCTGGTTGGATTTTTTTATTTTTTCTTATGCATAATGGATTTCTCGCTTTCTGTCTCTCTGGCATGTGCACAGGCTCTGTAGGAATAAATCTGTCTAAAAATAAAACAAAATAAAACAAAACACCAAACAAACCACCAAACAAACCTGTAGCAGTTATAATTTCTTGAAACTATAACATTTCAGGGGTTTTCCCTGCTGAGAATAAACACCTAGCTGCAGGCTGTTTGGGAGTTGTGTGTGGGGAGGGGCTGGGTGTGTGCATGTGTACCATGTGCTTGTGTGTGTGTAGGTCCAGGTCTAGGGCTCCACAGAAGAGTTCCAGTCTTACCCCCCCAACACACACACACCCACTATGATGAGGCCTGGGTGGTGGCTCTTTGCCACCAGCCATGCCCCTCCGTTCACTTTCCATATTGTCTGAAGATGGCCCTCCCGAGTCCCCTCCCCTTCGATCATCTCAGAGATCGTTGGGAAGGGGTGAAGTTGAAGGCTGTGCCCAAGTGCTGGCTTAAACCAGAAGTCTGCTTTCTGGGATCTTTTTAAATTTTTTTTCTTTTAAGCATTTTTTTGCCGGACATGAACCGCGGTCGACTACGTGGGAGTCCAGCGACATAGCCATTACGCTAGCTGCTGGTTCCCTGCTTTCTGGGATCTTTTTAAAGTTTTTTTCTTTTAAGCATTTTTTTTGCCTTAGGATGCATGTACTTGCCAGAGAAAGAGAGACAGACAGACAGACGGTGAGAAGGAAAGTGAGAAATGACCCCCATGGGAATGGCCATGCCACAATGCCTTCTCCTCCATTCTCCTCCTAGAGAGTGTGATTTTCAAGCCACTGGGTCCAAAACCCAAACCCTGGTGGGAGTCCAGCGATGTAACTGCTACGCCCTCTGGGAGCCTCTCTGGGTTCTTAGCTGGGTGCATTTCCTGTGCAGACAGTGATGGCCATACATGGTGCAGAGAGAGAAGGTTGCCCACGTGTTTCTGGTGAATGGCGTGGCGGGCCTCCTTTGGTTGTCACACCTCCTATTCACTCAAGGATTCTCTGCACACACCCAGAGTGCCACACACTATCCCTAGGGTTAGGGCTGAGGCAGCACACTAGGTGATCACAGCCCTGCCATGTAGGAGCCTACATCATGGTGGGAGGATGGCAGCAGCGCAGAAATGCTGGGGGGAGGGGGGTACAAACCAGGCCGTGGCTGTGAGGAGGGTTGGGAGGAAACTTCCAGGCCCAGAGTTCAGCCGGCTAGGGCTCTGAGACGGAATCAAGCTTGCCATGTCCTAGTCCATTCTGCTGTGATAACAGAAAGTACTCCTCTGGGTACTTTATAAACTAGGGGTTTATTCAGCTCACAGTTTGGCCCTCCATGGTGCAGGGGCTACATCTGCTAGAGATCTTCTGGCTGGGTGACAGCCCAGCGAGGGAGGGAGTGCATGCACCTGTGCTGCGGGTCTGGCAGCCTTCCCTCTCCTTACAAACCCAGTAGGGGGAGTGGCAGGCAGTGTGGTGGTTAAGGTGCTGAACTCCTACATGGCCGACAGCAGTTCAAGTCCTGGACCTGGTGGCTTACTTTCTCACTTTCCTCTTCTCTCCCTCTTTCTCTCTCTGTTGAGTACACATGTCCTATAGCAAATTTTAAAATGACAGTAATAATAATAATAAAGAAAATTAAAGTAATTATTTAAAAAAAATACACAAATCCACTAGGAGTCGATTGTGGGTGCTCTGCCTGATGACCTTAATCCTAATCTCCTAAAGGTCCCACTTTTCTTCTTCCTTTTTGTAATTTGCTAGATGGCATGTGCAGTCCACCAGAAAGGAATGAGGTTGGGAGACTGAGAAAGCAACCCCACGGGGGATGGTCACACTGCAGTCTTCCATATCCCCTTTCAGGATTGTTGGGCACACAAGCATACACGTCCTAGGTGGTGGGAACTGCACGGTTGGTCAGGTGGAATCTAGCTCCTTAACCACCACGTGACTGGATGGCTCAAGGGTCCCACTTCTCAACACTATAGATTTAAGTTTTCACCCTCTTACTTCCATCACAACCAACTTCTCACACATGCATTTGGGAAGGCTATCCGAGCTGAAGCCTCGTGATTCAGACAGAGAGAAGGCAAGGATAGGGGAAGCTAAGGGGACTCGGTCCCCGGACCTGTTACTGGCCGGTGACAGGGTGGATTGTGCTGTAAGTGGCCTGTAAGTGGGTTGGACAGTTTTGAACAGGGGAGTGGTGAGATCATTGAGAAAAATGCTCTGGGCTCTGCACGTAGTGGGATGGCCTGCAGTGAAGAGGCAGTTAAGGCAGCTCAGATAAGAGAACCGGGCCTGGACTGTGGCCCGGGGACCTTCGGAGCTTCTCCCAAGGGGCTGCAGCAGCGGCCCTTCCCTGCCCACATGGTCAGGAGCATTGTGATCACTGCGCCAGCCCTGACTGCTGGAGGAGGAGCACGCGGTCAGCCTGGACAGGCCGAGGGGTTGGCTGTGGGATGCAAGAGAGGGGAAGAACCAACGATGGCCCTAGCTTGACTGAGTCTGTGTGTACGCATGCATCTGTGACTGCGTCAGCGTCAGCGTCTGCGCGTGCGCGTCCACCTGCG